GCCATCATCAAGAGGCTGCCTTTCCTCCCACTAGGCAACAGTAACTACCTCATTTTGCTGCAACACGAGCCCCCCGGGGCGAAGTTCACCAGCACTATCAGCCCTTATTCCTTCGAAAAGGGCCAGCCCTGATATCGTTGAGGACAAGTTCTGTGCGAATCTGCACGGCCTCCGCGAGTCTGAATCGCAAACAGACAAGCTGCTTATGCTCGCGGGCTCAGACGTACGGGTGATCAGGCACAAACCATGCCATCGGTTCAGGATAGGAGACCGCAACAGACACAGTCATATATTCGAAGTGGCTCTACTCCTGGCGTCTGCTATCACATCTCTGTCTGGCGCCTGCCTCCACGTACGCACTAATGGCAATTAGCTCCTTCGACATTGTGAGTCCCTGTGTGATGTCGCCATCTCGCCCACATAGTTATTGATTTCTGGAGGATGCGTATGGTGCGCGGCCAGCACGACAGGATGCCTTCAACCACATTGCCGCTCATCGCGAACACGTCAGTTGCTGCAACGAAATGAAAGGATGAAGTCGAGGGGGGGGAGCATTCGTGATTGTTGAGCTTGGCCGCTTCTGGCAGTCTCATTTTGGACAACGTCGGGGTCACCAACGTCACAGCAGCCAAAGTTATGAGCAGATTCCCAAACCTGCGGTCCTGGTTAGGAGGAGAAGTTGTACGCCAACAGGGAAAATGTTACGGAGGACCCGCACAGCGCACAGTTCGCTCATCCTCAACAGCATCGCTTACCACTTTGGCTGAAAATAGACTACATGGATAGGTCCGGGTACGATAAATGACAACGAAAAGATTCCCAAATCACGAGTCCGGAGGGACAGTTATTTCGACGGTCTTTGCTGAGACTATAGGAGGTACTAGTGACTCAACACGCAGTTGCAGTAAACTGTCTCTCAAGGCGAGTAACAACCGTCGCGTGCATTATCCCCGATAAGAAACACATGCGTGAGCCTGAGCTCTCCCCGCCCGCGGCCAATCAGCGATAAACGCGGCGTTGGTTGGTCATGAGTTCTCGCCGCGCCAGTGCCAGGTCTTGGGCGGCTCAAACAATCAATCGACGGAGGGCTATAGGTGGACTGAAGGCCGTATAAGTAGGCGACCGCGCCGCGTCCATCGGAGGAGACTGCCACAGATACACCCTCGTCCAGTGACGCGCCAGCGACAATCGCGCTGTGTGGTGTCCAATAATGAGGCCGTCATCGCCTAGCCATCTCGACGATTAGACCGACAACTCTGCTGTGAAGACAGCCTCAGTGAGAAATATAATCAATGAAGCTGAACTCTAGTGTTGAAGAACCCGCTCCCATAAAAACTGCTGACATCGTTGTCTCACTTTCCCCCTCAAGCATGATTTGACAACCGTGCAGACAATGGTGTTGCGCCGAGCCACCATACTATCTTGCCTTTCCTACCTGTTCCTCATTCTTGAACTTACTGGTTTTTTAATTGAATGGAAGGAACACAACTCGACGCGACGCGCTTGGCATGGTTGGATTGTCAGGTCGTTTGACTTTTGCTTGTTAATTCCTTCAAAACTCTGGTCTTATCCTGATTTCCGTAGTCTGGGATTGACGGTTCTGCCCTTAGCGCTCGCGACAGTGGGGACCCCGACGTGTGTGTGATGTGTTACCGAGACGATTTAACACCGTCAGCACAGGTGTTGACCTCTCAAGCAGCCACTGTTGTCGGAGACAGCAATTCGGGGCTCTGTGCACAATAAAGTCCTTCGAATAGCATTATCGGCAGAGACAAGAAAGACTGGAATGGCAATTCCTGGCTCATTAGTCGTCATCGGCCAGTTATAACTAACCCCAAAGGGTGGAATCCCTGTTAGTTAGAAGTCCAACGCCTCTAACCGCTGAGCCACGGGTTCGTTGTCCTGTCAGCCATTCCAGTCTCCCTTGTCTTGGTCAGTAATGTTATTCAGTCTGTATCAGGCACCGATGTGCGGCTGCTGGCGGGGCTCACGAGAGAGCCCGTACGGCACAACGGAACCAGTGAATTCCGTAAAAACGATCGGTGAGAGCCCCTCTACCAAAGCCCTTCGATCTCGCACACTTGGTTATCACCTTCTAATCCGAACTGAGCTCGATGGCTATAGCGCTCTGAGTGCATCCCCTACTTAGACGGTACACCAGCAAGTAGTATGGACCCTCGGGGTTTCGTTGCACCGCAGAGCACCACAGAGCAACAAAATCATCCTTCTGTTGCTTTATGGTTGTCCCTCTCTGAGTACACTCACTGCTTTCGCCCTTGTCAAGCCGCTACCTCTTCCGAACCTCGGCAATTCAGAGTACAGAAGCCAGCCCAACAAGGAGTTGATCAAGCCGTCTAGACTACTTCTGTGACGTCTGTCATTCCAATGTTGGATCCAGTGGACTCAATGTTGGGCATAGCGTCTGCGACGGTTGAATTCCCACACGCCCCTTCGATTGCCTAACTTTGGTGGCTGCCACAAGTCAACTCCTGGACCTGACGCACCTGCTCCACATACATCCAAAGTGTTCGCCGTTAAATTCCGTTTCCCAACCAGTGTCGTCATTTACAACAACTGCAATCAAAGCTGCCTCTGCTTTCAGCACCCACTTAGGTTCGATTAAAATATGTACATTTAAGCACCGTCGCGTCACTCCTGGCACCATCCACCGAAGACCTTCACTCACCATTCAAACCATGAATTCAACCAGGGGAACATGACTGGCATCGATTGCGACAATTAGTCAGTACCCGAGGATGACCGCGCACTTGATGCCACAAACGAAGCGGACATTCGTCGTACACTGACAGGCGTCAACGGCAAATGCCAATTGCCTAGCATCAATAAACCGATTCTCTTATCCTCCTGTCACCATCTCACGGCCAATCAGCATCGACGATGAGGTTGCAACCCGGATTTTTGAGATCTACCAAGCCGTTGGCAGGCCACAGCACCCAGTTTATGGCTAGACACGGAAATCAGTACCCCCGCCCCCGTATTACAGACGCTCTTGCTCTAAATTTCGCTGGGGCTACCTATTCCTGTAGTCTAACTTTGACTCTAACCCCAACCCGAAGTCCATATGTACTACGGGGGTACTTATAGCCGCACCCAACCCAGCTTGGACCTGGGTCATATCCCCCCCTCAGCAGGAAGCTCTGGATGCACAGAGCTGTCATCCTAACAAGTCTTCTTTGCGGTGGGAAGACAATCTTCCATGTTGAAGCAGATCCGACTATGATGGATCGACCATATCTGGACGTTGACTCTGTCGAGATGCGATAGGTCGACAACTTGTAGATCCTCAAGTCCCAACTCAAGGAAAACCGAGTTTGAACATGTTTTACTGCGACAAGAGGGCGTACACCCGACTCAACAAGCGGCGGTAGCAAGTATTCTCACGAGTTGTACCAGTCGTTTAGGTTGTTCGCCCCGACGCGAAGTGTGTGCCTGAGCTTTGTGAGACTGCAGCCAATCGATGATGGCGAAAATACCGATTGGCGTTACGGCGTCGGCGAGCCGAGCGTTGAGTCACGCGCGCGTGCGCTGTGTCTGACAGGCGTGCTGGACGGATTTGGCGAAAAACCCTCAGAACTGCGGCAGCCATCCTTGAAGCCAAAGCGAAACGACAGGCTTTAAGAACTGGAATGTCGTGAACCAACACCGCAAGCGTTTAACCTCAATGGATAGGTCCTTACTGTCAGTGCCCGTTCGAGACGACGGATTGACCCTCTCGACACCTTCGGATTCCTCGCAATGTCAATACGACCCCACCCACCCAACGAAACACTCCGATCAGTTAACAAACCCCGCCCTCCTTGTCCTCGCTGTAATATCACCCGTGCGCTCTAGTGTAACGCTTTCGCGGCCATCAACACGGGTACGTCACCGCTGACACGGAGAAAACCGGCACGCATGCAGACTGAGCGCCAACCTGCCTCCACTGTGACCACATCTTGGGACCACGCATCAGCCCGGTTGAACACCTGTGCACCTATCACGGCGTAGTTGGAGGACCAGTGCCTGGAATCCTGTCCAACACCCGTCACGTGCACTTTCCTTGCCCACATTGCGTCCGCACACTCAGTCATCGCATGACCCCTTCCGGTTATATGCGCGCGCGCATTAAAGCCGCCGATAAATCATCCATCAAGTCTACGTTAAGGTCCGCCAACATCGGTGATGGCTGGAGACCTATCGTGCGCGTGTATAGACGCGTAGCGCACCAGACACTTCGCCAACCAGGTCACCTGTCGACCGACAAGCTTGGACGGGCTACAGGTGCGCGGGAAGACAGAGCGATTCTGTAGTGGCCCTCAACATATTCCGTAATATCGTAAATTTGACGCGCTTAAGACTGATTTGTGACGCACTGGCTCTCCTGCCTGGGAAGGCTGCCAACTGTGGGGTTTACTCGATCCTACTCAGGACCGAGGGCCAGGTTGCAATGGGCCCTCCTGATCATGGATTACATTGGGCTCCCACGTACGTGCGATCCGGGCCTGGTACGTGTGGAGCTTGGGATCAATTCGTGTGAAGCACGCATTTACAGGTCGTTTGGCCTTGACGGCCGCTACATTTGCACCCATCTCCTTCCGTCTTGACTTTGTACGTAGGGGAAAAGTGTGGGATGGACGGCGCGCAGGTCTGCTTTACTCCAAATAAATGCCCTTTTATTCTGTGCAGTTTTCTAAAGCACTCAGTGGGTCTGAATCTCCAGTCCTCTCCTCGAGTCCTATGCTGTTTCAAAAGTCGCATTCCACGGAGATCGGGCATCACTGGTTAGATGCCTGTCCTTATTCCAGCTTCTGACGACTTGATCCAACTCTGTCAACCACGTCACTTAGGTCCTGCATTTTCGACCTTGGAAGCATGGTTGTAACTATTAATGTGCACTGAGGACACACCGTCTATTTCCACAACTCTGGGTGCAAAAAATGACCATCCCTGAAACGGTACAGCACGTAAATGTGTAACCCTGTTTTATTCTATTTATATATTCAAAAACACCGTATTTCATCTGCTAAGAGATCCCAATCATCATCATCATCATCATCATCATCATCATCATCATCATCATCATCATCATCATCATCATCATCATCATCAGCAGCAGCAGCAGCAGCAGCAGCAGCAGCAGCATCATCATCATCATCACCATCAGCAGCAGCAGCAGCAGCAGCATCATCAGCATCATCATCATCATCATCATCATCATCATCATCATCATCATCATCATCATCATCATCATCATCATCATCATCATCATCATCATCATCAGCAGCAGCAGCAGCAGCAGCAGCAGCAGCAGCGTCATCATCATCATTCTCGTATTACAGATAACTGTGCGCCATGGTTCTGTGGGAGAGGAACAAACATACACCTACCAGACCCCCAAAACTTCTATTGGGCTAGCTGTTTGATTCCAGCGACCCAATACTGTCGTCTCACCGATTTTATATCCGGATTTTCGGAAGACTTTGTTGGACGACATGAATGCCGAATAACATCTCTGAATAGTATGTGGTCGGATAAGCATCTCAAGGTTTGGTATGGAGAATTCCGCATAGGAGACCATTCTAGTGACTTTTGTTCTTGCTTTATTAGCACTGAATTCAAACAAGTGTCTGGATGACGCCGCGTCATCAAGTTTGGCTTCATAGTGTTCAGACCAGTGTTTAATAATTTTTTGAACGTTCCTGTACGAGGCAGACTTGGCTTCGCAATCGGTCCAAAGCGGAGGAACCTATTTTGGGTACTGAAACCGCGTTACGGAGCGAAAAAGAGGGCTTAATTCTGCACGTCGCTAGCGGCAAAAACTAAAAGAGAAGCTCATTAATTTTTATCGCTAATCAGTGGTCACTGCGTCGTGAAATCGGGGTCATTTCGGGTGTATTAATGGGGGAGCCTAGTTGAAGTTTGAAATGTCTGTTGCAGCTGTTCAGTGGTCGAATGAGGAGAAGTGTATGCAGGGAGAAAGGAATGGTCAGGATACTACTGCAAGATGGTGAAACCGGTTCCAACATGCACTCAGGCGGTCTGCGGAAGAGCTGTAAGCGACACGCCGTAAAGCAAGGTGACTGCGGCCACTGGGGTGGCGGCGGGGGGGGGGGGCGACTCGGATCCAGCGTAAACTTGCGGGTGCGGCGCCTCGCGCACGGGAACTGCGCCCAACTGCATTCAGACAACAGAATGAGCCAACCAATCAGAAGCGAAGATGAATCATGAAGTCACTCATTGGTCGTGTGAGTGTCTGTCAGTCCATCCTTGTAATAGTGGGACAGACAGGCAGTCCGCACTGCACGCGCAAGTCAATCGATAATCAAGCCCTCGACTGCGGTTGCTGTTGAGGCTGCCTAAGAACAAAAGGAGCGAGATTTAACTCCAAAATCATGACAAATACCGTCGCGTGTGACAGGTTTATGTTCTTGTTCTAACTTTGTCAAGGCTGCGGGCTGATAGAAAACGGTCTGCAACTTTCGATAAAACCGTCGCTAAAGTTCATGAATATTATAATGAATGCGAATGCGTGGTCGCAACACCAGCCGATGACCACCTCTTTCCTTACGGGCTGGACTGGTGAATTAAGGAGGTTATTTCCGAGCCTGTCGCCGTGTCTTCAGTTATATTTCTGTCTTGATGGAAAATTGTGTTGTTAGTTTAGGAAAATGGACGACATGTCGTGCTGGTTTGTACGTACATTTGTTAGCACAATATGGCGACCATGGTTCAACAGGAAAGGGATAATGAGCCCCGACGAGAGACAAACCACCCAAAAATCATCCCCTAAACTTCCAGATCACCTCATCACCTTTGTCTTCAGCAGTCGCCTCGGTACTCCCAGTTAGAATTATTGGCTTACCTTTTTTGGAAAAGCATTCCACGTAAAGTTTAGAAGATGGTCAACATCCTCCTCTTCTTCGATTTCTTCTTTGTAGTTTTTTTTGCGATCCCGCGGAACCGAATGCGCTGCATTTGCCTTACACCCTATGTGGTCGTGCATTCTAAGGTTTTCGTGTGTAATTTGTCCCCCTTGGCAGATACAGCGTGATTCCCACCCACTGCTGTCGTTTCGCGCTCGTATACGCAATCCCCTTGTCAATGTGTTCTGGCAAAATCCATATGGTGTCCTTGCTTCTTCTAAAACTGCTCCAATTGGCACTCAACAACAGGCTTGGAGGGCTTCCAAAATTTGACGTCAACCTCATTGCATTTTGAAAATTTATAACCGTTCTGGTTTTTCTTCACCCCGAATTGACTGCTCCCATGTTTTAACTCATTAAAAACACACCACTATTGTTCAAATGCTCCAAAGACTGTCTTTACAAGTCGGATAGGAAGTCGAACACATTCTCACTATGCCAAAATGCTTTGTGCTGCAAAAAACAGATTTAGACAAATATTTGACAGCAATCCTCGAGGAATGTCCTCGCGTCACTTAATACTGTATGCACAGAGTCCTCTGAATCCGTCGACTGCAGGGAAGCTTGGGCACAGTGACTGACTGAACATTCCCACCCCCACCCCCCGCTTGCCACACACCTGCTGAGTCCTAGGTAAAAATGAACGAGATCCCACCCCCCCCCCCGATCATCATGCAAGGTAAAATTTGCTATTATGGTTGAGCTAGGAAGGAGCCATCGAAACCTGACTTACCGTTCCGGCGGCCATGTTGTACTGATTGATTGATAACCTTTAAATCCACAGCCTTCAAGGTAGCGTGACTAACGACGAGGATCATGGTGTGAGAGAACCTACCTGTCTTACTGCGTATCACTGGCAGGATGGATCCAGAATGATGAGAGAAGGGATCAGACGTAGGAGCTAGTCAGGCATTTCATCCCCTTCTTATTGCGCCCGCCATGCATGTTCTAGGCCTTTCGTTGCAGAACTCAGGGAAGATGTTTGTTCTTCCTTTAGGCCTCTTTTACCTCCTCTTTAGGTAAATCGTCGATCACTTTGGGTTCCCCACGAAAGGCCATGCACATAATGTATCCGAAATTTGGGTATTTTTAGGCCGAACCTCAATCGGAATTAACATGACAACCACAGGTTGTTTTCGGTGTTGGACGGCTGGTAGAAATGAGTTAAAAAATAAGTCATTGTGACACATTTCAAAATAAAGGCTGGAAAAGTTGTTAAACCGAAACAAAAGACTAACATACTGATTTGAGAAGCACGTGGAAGTAATGCTCACCGGTCACAACCGACAGTTCCTGTACCAATGGATGTATGGTTGACAACGATGAGAAGTTTCCCGAATCAAATATCGGGAAGAGAGAACTGACACGACACGCTTCACCCCCCCCCCCTCCCCCGGGAAGAGTATTCAGCTGTAGGCTTACGGGACATACTCGTGCGGCGGCGCCTTCGGACTCAATCTGGAATCCTCGCGAGCGATCATGCGCGACGGGTAGTATATGCAGAGAGGGAGTGTCTGCAGGGATAAGAGAGATTTTAATGCTCATTTCTGGCCTATTGACCGTCATCAGACAGACACACTCAACCCCAGGTCTGGATAACCTGGGATTCATGATAAGGCCCTTTGGCCGCTGAGCGTTATGCGGTGCCAAGCTCAATAATTCAGCCACAGGCCTGTTGTTCTGGCGGTTGTGATCAATCATATGAATTACTGTGGGAAGTGCGGTCACTGTTCGCGTTACTGGACATGTCCTTCCTTCATATGCCACTCGTCGCTATGCGATTGCATGCTAGGGCCCAGCGTGACGAGCATGACTCGTAACCCGATTGGCTGACGCCCTTCCTGCGGTAGTTAATATTCCCAATCACAGTCGCCAGGACACCAGACCCGTGGTTCGATGATGGAGCAATCGACCCAATAACCAAAGATCTCGGGCCCGAGTCCAAGGTGCTCCAAACATAGGCATTAGGAAATGCTGACTGACCACGACAAATCAGCCAAAAATAATCACGTCCCTGTCAATACTCCTGCATAGGTTACTCTGGTAGGGAGCATATGAACAGCCCAAAGGCCAGTGGCAGCCATGCGTGTGTCTGAGCCATGCCTGTTTGTAGCCAATCAGAGAAGGGCAAAATACCCATAGGTGTTAAGTTGTCGCTGCACCGGGACGGGGGGGGGGCGAATGAACCTTGTCGGGGCACAGCCATGCATCGATTGGGCGAGTTAGGCGTCCAAAAGACGACATGGGTAAATAGTCACCCGAGCGACAAGAAGTAGACTACTACAGGCCTATAGGTGTTAGGCATAATTTTGTATGGGACAAGACTTGCATCGTCGGCGTCTGCTCTATCAAAAAGGGCCGAGAAGTTCCTGCACTCAGATGAGTCATGCACGAATCGACATATTGAGTTAGACCCCATGTGCAAAGATCTCGGGGAAAAATGGAAGAGACGGGAACCGATCGGTGCACAACAGCATATGCAGCGGACGCTTACTGAGAGGAACGCCGGAGAAGTATTGATCTTTGGGCAGATTTGAGACATTGACTGGTTTTGTGCATTTACTCAAGCTTGATGACCACTCGGGGAACCCCGTTTGTATGAAAGGACGAACCATAATCAATTGCACTTATTATTCACACGTTTAGTTTGTACCTCTTTCCCATATAAATGTACAGGCCCGATGAGACTTTATCGAAAGCACGCGTAAGCTCGCCAAATACTCTTCAGAATATACTAATCTGTTTAGAAAATTAATTTTTGCAAAAAATTCAGACCAATTTCATTTTTCCCGTTTTCTACAGGATGACACATCTGGAGACTATCGCAAAATCTTGCTGACTCTCATTGCTGAAGAAGGGATGATAAAGAAGTGAAGGAGTTGAAGGCGACATCCATCTGCCGAATCGTCCACTTTTCTGCGCTCTCCATGACATTTCTCACTTGCCCACACACACACCCTCTGTTTTCAGGTCTTGCACGATTTTCATGCAAATCTGTTCTTTAAAGATCTTATGGGTCATCAAGGTCTGTTCTTTGGCATAAAATACAATGAGTGTACAATTACTGGGGTTCTGCGTCCAAACTTAAACGGCAAATCTTCTCTCCAGAAAGCGCCCCAACGACGTCATTCCTGCGGCTTAGTAGCCGCCTACACACCCCATTCAGGATCCTCACATTGTACATGGTACTTCAGCTAAATTACGTGAAATCGAATCGTTTTTAATAAAAAAACCAAAAAAATTTAATCTCAGCCGCATTTACCCGCACGGTTTCCCCGTTATTGGCACTGAAGGGAGTTGCACACACACACACCAATCCAAAAAGTTTTATTTATATGCTAGCGCCAGGTTAACCATGAACTTTTTCTACCCGTCGCGAACTATCTAGACCAGCGTTCACTTCCATCACCATTGTCACTGTAGCCGTTAATCACACAACAGGAATATCGACTTCCGCTCAGCTGGGAAAACGTTCCATTCTGGGTCGCTTCGTCGGCAATAAAAGTACGAGTGATGAGCAATGGTAGTACTACTAATGCTCGACCAGATTCCTGAATCCAGTTTTTAGCTGCACTAGAAGGAGAGTTCGTGCAGCAGAGTAAGAAGTTGGAATGGGCGGGGACTAGAAGGCCGAACAACCCGAGACATCTGTCAGCAGAACACAGGCATTTAAACTCAGGCAATCCAGTGGGGAGGATCGAATTGAGTAGCTACCGGGACTTGAACGCGGAACACAGGCAGTCGCGGTTTGGCAAACTCAGCTGGGATGAGCTAGCATGCACATTTTGCCGAAATCCTGTTCAGATGAGCAATTTGGAAAATCAGACAAGGGAATTAATTAGTTACAGCCTTTGGGTTTCCTCAGAAAGTAATCGCCAACCTGGAGTAAACTAGTCTGTCCGAGACTGATAGGATTAGACCAGAACTTTACATGAATATATGGACCAAAGTCCAAATTAAAGGCCGAAATCTAAAAACTGAAGTACTTGCCGGAAAATCACACGGAGAACTCTGGAGAACCCACTGGTGGACCGAACCCCTCGCAGCTGTGTCGTGCAGCGGCATGATGTCGGTGAAACACGTGTCTGGGCTTTTAGCTAGCACCTGTCCTGTCAAGTATGTTATATCGTGCTACTTAAGCACATACTACTGACCGACTGTTAGCAGTTTATGAAAGTTACGCGGCTATCCCGTTGTGGTTAATGGACTTCGGCCGAAATATTCATATCAGATTTCTGTCCGGGTCTAGAGGTCTTAAGTAGACTGATTCACACCAAGTTGGCGACTAGCTTCTGGGGAAATTAAAAAGCGGAAGTTCCAAAAATTGGGTATCTCGTGCAACCCACACATGAGTTAAGAAGTCACAGAACGGGATAGCCTTCACGTGGTTGTTCCTTCGTTGTGGCCGTCGGGGATAACCGCAGTCTGCGGGATTATAGGGAAGACGTCCACGGCCTCGAAGTCTCCCTCTCATCTCCTCTCGCTCTTTCCCCCCCCTCTATCTCTCGCACTCTTCCCCCTCCGTCACCGCATACTGCGGTGCTGGAACAAAGTCCAAGTTACTGAAGGTGAGCCTAGGCGCGTTAGATAAATAAATATTTTGTCCCAATCTTACCACGCGCGCCAAACACCTGCTAATCCCACAGGGACCAATCAGGTTTCACCTGGCAGACAGTAAAGGTCTCGTCTCGGGTGTTACCGCAATGTCACTCACGTGAAGGCCAGGATCGTGCTCAGTAGGACTCAGAGTGAGCTGTTGCCTGATGAGAGTCCAAAGAACGAGGATGAACGCATCAGTAATACCAGTACTGACGATCAGTGCGTTTTGAGGGTGGACATAACCGTGCCAGGCTTGCAGCTGATTGGTCGGATGTTTTGAGTGCTCTGAGTGAATGTATTGAGTAGAATAAAATTACCGATAAGGGCAAGCGAGGCTAGGGTGGTCGTTTCTGGCTTACTGGCCGTCGTCAGCCAGCCATGCCCGACCCCCCGGGTTTGGGGGCAGCTGAGGCTCGGACCCGTGCTCCTTTGATTACCAAGTGTTAGTAAGTCTGTAGTGGTCCTACTCCGCGTGCCTGTCGCCTCTCGCGACTGTCTGCGCCTTCACACCAGGGCTGTCTGAATTTCGTCCACTCGGCCTCCCAACTGACCAATCAGATTCAAGGCCGAGTCAAACGTGCCCTGGCTTAAGACGCATTGATGCATTTCCTGACGGACGCCGCTCACTTGGTGCCGGACATGTCCGCCTCCGGTTGCCAACTCTCTCCAATTCCTTCTTCCGTTATTCTGTACAAAATACATCATCCTGTCCACTGGCGTCCACCTTCTCTTTCCATTTAGGACCGGACCTGGAGTTCGTGGTAGCCAGGCTCTCACTCACAGCATAGGCTGCTGTGATAAGTCCAATGCTCTAACTTTTGGGCAATGGGTTCGTTGACCTGTCGGTTGTTATTGGGGATGTTAACTATGTTGGAAAAGGACATCCTAGTCTTCATTGTCTGTGTCGGTAATTGAATTCTGGTGTCGTTTATTGGATCTGGTGCAGTTGCGGACAAAGCAAATACGTCGGAGAAACCGGAAGACAGCCCTGAACGAGAACGGCCGAACACGCTGCAGCGGTGCAGAGAAATGACGCCAACTCTCAAGTTGCGGCTCATTCGACGAGATCCAGCCACACATTCAAATTCGACGAGGCCGAAATTCTCGCAAGAGGTGGCAGCCGCGTGAGTCGGGAGCTACTTGACTCATGGTTTACTGGCCCCCAGTTCGTCAACAAGTGTAATGATCGTCCCATACTCGGTGCTGAGACTTCGCCTAGGCGGAGTAATTTGCCACGCGGGGAGCGCACAGGTGAACACTTTTTTCTCCAGCGCCAGGGTCGGTGGATCAGACGGTTGAGCAATCACCACACCAACATCCAACGCACGTGATGAAATTGCAGTAATTGACGACGCGAATGTCGGCCATCAAACAGTCAGCACACCAAGTGCAACGGTCCATGAGAAAGGGAGGAGCCGTGAACGTTAAGAGGTGTGCGCTAGCATGGCGACTGCATCCTATAAATACTGCAGCCTCTTGTGCATGAACCACCCGTATCTGCTTTTGTCTCTGATGATGGGTTCGGGCAGGAATCCGAAACGTCAGGCTAATAAAGCTCTTGTCCCAGCGATCGTGTCTCCTTCTTCAAGATTACTTCCTGGGACTCGTCTCTTCGTTTCCATTGAATTCTGCCTTTATTACTGGTCGTTTTGGGACTGCGTGGGGAACTCTAGATCGAGCCCCAAACCACAACAGAACATATAGGTCCCCTAACCCAAAAGCTGAACGCACTTGAACATAGTGTAATGAATGTTTCTAGCGAGAGTGTGTCCCTGCCAACCCTGAAGTTGATTGACCGGTCCAAATAGCCGTGATTGGTCCAACAACACACAGAGCCTCTTCGTTTGACTAGACGCGGTTGAAGCATCACACAGAGGCTTAGAATGCCCGACGAACTACTGAAGCTGTTACGTACATGCAAGCATACGCCAGACAAGGAGGCATCCTCGCAATAGACACCGACAATGGGGCCACTACAAGACTACTCCTGACTTATTCGCACTCGGCAGTCAGTAAAAACTCGGGCCAGACCACGCCCAGGTGAAGTTATCTCTGCCACTAAATAATTCAACGCCTTTTTTGAAGAAGAAGACACGATCGCCGGGACAAGAGCTTTATTAGCCTGACGTTTCGGATTCCTGCTCGAATCCATCATCAGAGACATAAGCAGATAACCACCCTTATCCGCTTATGTCTCTGATGATGGATTCGAGCAGGAATCCGAAACGTCAGGGTAATAAAGCTCTTGTCCCGGCGATCGTGTCTTCTTCTTCAAGACTGCTTCCTGGGACTCGTCTCTTCGCTTCTGTTGGCAATGTATTTGGGCGCAATGCGCTCCGATCGGCCCGACGATGGGAAACCTTCGCTCTTCGGGAGGCCTCCACGTATTCGCAGATCCGGTTTCTGCACAGGTGTCTCGACAATAATGTGTTGCCGAAATGTGTTTCATACAAACCTCCGGTTAACACAGATTTGGCTAGACGAGCAGTATTTCAACATGGCAGAAGGATGATCCGAGTGCTCCTCCAAGATTGCCACGCGAGACTTCGCAAGTACCGTCAAAGGATTGACCAAGAAAAGATCAGATGCTGTGAGTTCATGGGTGAGATCGGTACAAATCTGCTCCTGCAGAGGATAGCTGAACATGCCCGCGAACAGAGAATGATACGCGACGCAGCACTGGAGAACAAATTCCGAAAGCTGCCCAATCCAACGTCGTCCAGAAACGACAAACTGGTGCACAACCTGTCGTCAAAGGAGCTGACGGAGGATCAGATGCAGGTTTTAAGGCACGAAGCTTCATTCAACACGACTGACGCCAAACCTGTTAACATGATTGCAGCAGTGGGATCAATCCTTAGTCAGACGGAGGCAACGGATGAGACCAAGAGCCTCATCCGACACCAAGTGTCGTCTCTCCTCAACGCCTTTTGTCACCTGGGATTGAATGCTGATTGCCTAATCGGCCTGCCTGCTGGATGGAGAGCGTGCATCCCGTTCTACCGTAGGACTGCAGTCTAGATTCTTCACAGGCTCTCACAAAGCGACGGGGAGTTTGCTAATCGAGAAGCAGAGACCGCACAGCTTGACAGAAGATCGTCACCCCCCCCCCTCCGTTGCTTAGGAGGAAACTACAGGCGACCCAATATTGGTTAGACCGAGAGATGGAGCCGAATTAATGCCTTTCCTTAATTTTTTGCTCAAGTGCGGACTCAGTGCTGAACATGGCAGCACGATGTATAGAAAGGCGACTAACACAACTCAGGTTATCCGCTATCACAGCAATTACCCGAAGATGCATAAACGCGGCTCTGTTCGGCTTCTCTTCCAAGGGGGTAAGAAGGTACTGCAGAGAACTGTTGAGAAAAGAACGAAAATTACGGTATCTTCGGGACCAAAATCAGCAATGAACGACCACCCAAATGACTTCGTCACAAACGCTCTGGCACCTTCTATCAGAAGCAGCGAAACATATTGTCGCGGGGTTTAACGTGGGTATCGCTTATCGTCCGACAGATGCAGATGAAGAGTCGAATGGATGCTGGAGAGGATTCGGGTGTATTTTATCAAATCCCATGCCGTTACTGCCCACGCCATTACACCGGCCAGACCGGGCGGCGGCTCATCTCGCGAATACTCGAGCAGGAAACGGCTCGTTTGGAAAGGAGACCTGCTGTCTTAAGTCGCTACCCACACCCTGGCGGAAGGTTACGAATCCAACTTCACGAGCACGCAGATAATGGGGCGAGCTAACAATTAGACGGGACGAGAACTGCTGGAGGCCTGAATATCTGACACCACTCTCCACGAGACCACACTCACACAATGTGGGCTTAGAGTAAATATTCGGTGAAGTACAACGACCGCGGCGGTAAAGGTTGTCTTGCCTACACTGTTTTCCCTACATTTTGATTTGGGAAACATTGTGTTGTCGACCCATCACACCTCGATAAAACAACTGGGATTGACAAAATGACCTTCATAACACAGCATCAGTGGAAGTAGTACGAGATCACCTCCGAGCATGAATCCGAAGGTGCCTGCAATACGAATGAAATGGACGCGTTCTTCGGGATTCTGTTTCGCGTTACGTTGACCCTGCAGAATGAAGATGCGCAGATAAATAGAGATAAGGAGAAGTTAAAGAATCGGATTATGCAACTTTCCAGTACAAATGTCACAGGATCCCACAGAATTTCATGCGGGATGCCTAGGAAACCAAATCGACCTGCTTGTGTTAGAGTAAGGCAGCGACAAGTCCCCCTACCGTCAACAGAACAGTGCAGGAGGGGGTCTGCAATCCTATCCTAAGTGTCCTCGCTCGGAGCGCGTGTAAAAATCGAACTTGTTCAGCAGCCTCCTCGTAACGCCCCTAGGCCTTTTTAGGGGGGGAGGGGGGGGGGAGAAAGGAAGACTAGAAATTGATGGGTTTTTCATTGGATTCGGAAACCCACCTGCTGCCCCAAGTATTGTCTTTGCCGTAAAGTATTTATGTGCGGAGGGCGTGCTTTCGTTTTCGACCTCTCAGATGCAGGACAGAAAATTTTCCGGGAAAACGAGGCGCTGGCACTTTGGAATTCGGGAGGGCAGCTCATATTTTCAATGCTACACGGTTCTGAAGGAGTTGACGGGATGAAATCAAGCCTGCCGTAAGCTCAAACTGATTGTACAAAAATGTGAGACAGGAGTTGTCATTCTCGGTGCGACTGGAGGGGAAACAGAGACAGACGTTTCAGTAAAGAGGGCTAATCGGTAACAATCGGGAGATGGCACCCAAAAAATCCGCCTAACCAAAGCTGCATGTCTTACGGGACAGGTTGTAATAGGGTTTTTATGGGTGGTGGCTGATGGGGATGTACGATACTAGCCGACGGAAGCCTTATTTGAACAGATGAATGATCGAAGTTGGCCCGCTCTCCGTTCCGTTATTACAAAATAGGTCGCCAAAGTCAGTATAGTGGTAACGGACGAGTGGAAGGCGTATAATTGTCTTCCCTCAGAAGGTTATCTACATTGCACTGTTAACCACTCAAAGAACTTCAAGGACCCTACCACCGGACGGCACACCAGTGCCACTGAGGCATACTGGAGTAGACTGAAAAGGAAACTCCAAGAGCGAGGCCCTGTATGTGGTCGAGCTGTGTGGGCTCACATAGACGAAGAAGAGTTCCGCTTTTGGTTTGGTCTCAATGCCATGTCTTTGACAGGTGCCTGGGAACTGTTCCTGTCCCATGTTGTGCGGACTTATCTTATTTAAAAGTGATTTTGTTTTGTAATAAACTGTCATAATGCGAATGTATGCCGTATATTCAGGTGAACGTGTGTAACTATGGGGAAGGTTGGGTAACAGCGAACATCGTCCATCTAACCTCCTGCGATGTTCGTTCGGCCAGCCCATGTTAGGCCGTCGGGGAAAGTCCAAGTAGTGAGCGAAAGTAGGCCTGCAACCGCTGATATAACCTTAAGGCGTTTGAGTCCACTGTTAAAGGCATTATTTCTAGGTAACGGATTTTTTGGGTGCCATCTCCCGATTGTTACCGGCTAATCAAGCTGCGGAACAGTTCTTTTTTATTTTTCTGAGCTCGTGCAGGAGTTCGTCATCAGAGGTAGTGGCAACAAAAGAACGACTAACAATTATTGGGCGAGCTAGCCAATCATCGATCACTGCCGCACACACTTATCGATGCTGCCTACACCTACGAAGTGAGTCATCAGTTTAACCTCGCTGACACCAAGATAATCGCCCACACGGGCAATAAAATAGGCCAAGAATTGATTGAAGTCTGAGCCTCTGATGAGAACTCAGCCGATCGATATATCGATCTGACACCGGCATACAGACTCCTGCGCAGTCGCCTCCAGTCTTGCGTCATCGATGGATGATTGGCTGGCACGCCCTATAATTGTCGCTCGTTTTGTTGTTTTGACGACGGAGTCCTGCACGAGTTCGAAAACCCAGAACAATACAACAAACCGTTATGGTGCTCGACTAGTATTCTTTATTTATACATACGCCTGTGACTCGAACTTTCGCCTCCATAGACGTGTCAGCTTTGATGCAAAATCTTCAGGTAGCAACTACCGCAGGCGTCCAGGATGTCCCTCAAGGTGATTCCGAGAATTCGGGTTAATATAATCAAGTCATTATGGAGGTTGGAAACTATGTCCTTGCTGGAGCGGGATAGGAGAATTTCTTCTTCTCTAGAGAAATTGTGTGCCTATCAAGGTACGATGGTCTAAATGTTCCAAAATTAGAAGGCAAAGAAACCAGCCAGATAGACAAGCTTTTGCCAAAACAGAGGGCGTACAGGCAACTAAGGATGCATTAACAGCCAGCGTTCCCACCAGACAAGTTTGTGCATGTCTACCTATGAAATCATTAGCCCTCTGAGCTGTGTCCGCCTGCAACCATTCACGGAGGACGCGGCGTTGATCGGCTGGTGCCGAGCTTCAGGGAGTTGCGACAGCGAATCGACCAGGAGCGTGGGGCGGACAGGAATAAATTGTCACGCCCACGATCAGGGGGTCGGAGTGTCACGGTGCCCCCCCCTCCCCCACCCCCGGATAGACCGAAGGAATTTGTTAATGACCAAAAGACATGAGAAGTCAAGCGGTCGGGGAAGTGAACGCGACGTCCACTTTGGGTGTTATATGCAGGGTGACAGGTGAAGGCTGAGCGTGTCCTGCGGATGGAGGGTTGATGAGGAAGTGGCGGTTGATGGTAGCGGACATGGAGGAACAGGAAGTAGATGCCAGGGAAGGATATCGGGTAGGGACGGCGGAGAGAGGCATGGGACCACAGGGCTCAGCCGGAGGAGTGTCCGGGACGGCAGTTTTAAGGCGGTCCACGCTCATGACCTCCTCGCGAGTTTTGTGCTGCACACCGAAGGTCTTTTCCCCTCGAGAGACAATCCGGAAGGGGCTTCAGTGGCCGGCGGACTTGATCACACCAAATATAGACGTGAGTGTATGTCGTCAAGTCTTACTCGAGATAAGACTTGGAGACCGATGGCCCGGGCCAAACCGGGAAGATGGCCCGTAGGAATTGGTGACGCGGTGCAGCACGTTGATCGAATCCTCAACCAGGACTGTCATAGTGACACGGTTATGAAGTGCAATGTTCCCTATATGAGAGCTTCAAGTCAGCTTTTGTGAGCACAAGGAAGGCATAAAGGCAACAAGGTGCGCTGACACGCTTTCATTTCTCGAGGGGTGAATGAGAGAGAACGAGGATGACTTGTGGGAGTGTGAGCTTCTTATTCTACCAATCGGAGTTACATGGTGTCCAACGCACAAAAACTTGCAGTATTTATTCGACTCCTAACGGTTCTAGAACGTCCTGGACCCCGGCGTGGCGGTCTTTGGCTGACTGCTTTATGCACGATAAGCCTCTCGTGGAAAAATTGTAAATGTTCGGCCGGTCATTAATAAGGCTGCATGAGTGAGCAAAAGCACCACACTCACTTCCACATGCAGCACGTGCTGATTGGCTAACTGACTTCATGTGCGCACTTCGCAGCCGACTTGGCCTACTATGCCGGCGACTTTGCCCAACACTTATCCCATACTTTCCGACGGAGTTACTAGACCCAAACTGAAATCACATGGGTAACTCTGGCGGACCTATTGACGAATCAGACCACTCG